GTCGTAGCGTCGTCGTGTCGTCGGTCGTGCGGCGCGTGTCGTGTGTGTTGTGTGTGTGTGTGTGTGTGTGTGTGTGTGTGTGTGTGTGTGTGTGTGTGTGTGTGTGTGTGCGTGCGTGCGTGCGTACGTGCACACACGCGCGTCCTCTCTCATTTATTGTCGTCGTAGGTATTTTATTTATTTATCATTTTTTCACATCTATTTTCCGCCATTTTCCTTTTTACGCGCCTGTTCATATCTTGCCTTTTTGCGGTATGGCTGCCTGGTTAAATTCGCCGGGTTTTCACTATTTATTTGCGACGAATTACGTAATTAATCTCAATTGCAATCATGGAGAAAATAATTTACTATCGTAAGCAAGGCTATTTTGTAGCAAGAGCCATTCATTAACTTTCAGTTCAATGCAAGTTCAGTTCAGTAAAAAATATCTAAGCAATCATGCGAACAAACTACATAGTATAGCGACAACAAGCACTGCAGGGAACTTATTTGGCACAGAACGCATATTTTATTTTCCTATCATTCTACTTCATTCTTCATCTTCATACTTCATTCTACTTCATCGTACATAAGCGGGACAAACATGTCAATCTCATGCGAACTAACTAGAACTACTGCGTCTCGCGGTTTCTCGCGAGATCGTACCTCTCTCGCTTCTATTTTCTAAATCGCAGCCGCATAGCGAGAAGAATTGATTCACTACCGTGCAAATGCCGCTATCTTCGCCCGCTATATCAAATCCCGAAAGAAACACCAACAGTTCGTCAACAACGTTCGACAAAACAAAACACCCAAGGTCACGCGTCTCGTCTTTTCACGGTGTGCTCGTAAAAAGCGGTCACAAGATGGCGGACAAGAATTCGCTGACGATCTCAGCCGACTCGCGTTGACAAATGTCAGGGCCGCAGCTCGCATTACGTGACGTAGGACGCGCACATGACCTTACATGTACTAAGCACAGCGCTCAGCATCCCCGCTGTGTGTCTAAGGTAGAGCGAGCTGCGACTGCGTGTGCACATACGCCTCTGGCGCATCTTCCATCTTATCTCACCACTATTATATTGGACATCGCATCGCGCGTGCGGCCCTCGCTCGACTAAGCGACTACTATAATCATCTATCTATCTACACACTATTGCCTACTGCCCTAGTATTGCTAAGTACGTCAACATCTATCGCGGGTGGGTGGGGGGGGGGGAATGCGTGTCGATGAGTGGTGCGAGAATGACTAGAGGTATACGATAGTAGAAGGAATTAACGCGAAGCCGTGTGACATGGTGGCCGCCATCTTGAAGTCATCTCGCGCGGGTTGCCGTCAACTGGCACTCACACAACAGTACATGTTTGCGTGATATTTCTTCTCGTGGTAAATGCTGTTGTTCACTAGCGCGCTACACTACCCTTTACGAGTGCATGCCAAGGCATATATATATATATAATATATATATATATATATATATATACTCTATTACTATATCACTATATATCATATATTCAATGACACGCTCTATGCATATACAAACTCATATTTGTACAATACGTTTTTACATTTTTACATTAATACACGCTGCATAGAACGCCTATATATATAATATGATATGCTGATGCTGAACGGAACAGAACTAACTATACATTCTAGTTACAATCACCTACATCTCCTATACAAATGCCCCGCACTTACGACAATGACGCTAATATAATGTTATTATAATAATTTGCGGAACCAATCACACTGTCGAAACTATGACCGTCCCCTACCACTTGTCCTTACACTCCTTCCTATATTCTAATTGTAGCCTCCGAAGATACTCTCCTGTACACACGTCACCCGCTAGCACATTTGACGTCAAAACCAAACTATCAACAGGCTGCGTAACAAATCTAAATTTCCACAAGGCGATTTATATATAGAACGGTCGCCAGCGAAACAATCTTACAGCGCGGCAAACATAGTGTGTATATACATACATACATGCATACACATGACGTGTGTATGTGTGTGTGTCTAACTCTACCACATAGAAAAATACGGACAATATATATTATATATGTATATTTATACGGGTAGGTATGTAATATATATCTATATATATTATAATATATATATCAGGAGTTAATAATGACAAATTTGTAAATTATTAACCCCTGATATATATATGTATGTGTGTTGATATAGATATAGATATAGATATAGATAGGCGGATATATGTAATCATGTAGTTTGCATTGATATGAGTATCGTGGTGTAGCGGGGAGGGGGGGCTTAACGTAATCCTTCTGTTGCGATGCGGATCGATGCTGCGCTTAGCGCCGTATACACGTGCGCGGCCGCCTCTTCACTGACACGACCCTACGGCAAGCGTGATTGCTCATCGTGCTTCTCCCTGCACGCACGCACGCACGCACGCACGCACGTATACGCATACATGCACGCACGCATACATGCATTCAAACATGCATGCACGCACGCACGCATACTTGCATGTATGCACGCACGCATACTTGCATGCACGCACGCACGCATACTTGCATGCACGCACGCACACATGCATGCATGCACGCACGCACAGCAGTGACGGCCAGGCGATGCGCACTGACAGCCAGGTACAGACATACCTGCATATAGTTCGTATAGTGGCGCAACAACCGCAGTATCACTGCGCACACCTGCGCACACCTAGAGTCACACAGAATGACGGGTCGTGCTTTCAACAGCTCCCGACTGTACATTCTCTATACGCCTCTATACGTTCGCATCCCCTAGGCTCCCTACCTCCGCCACTCTCCCTCGTCACCGTCGCTCTTTCACTCACTCCGTTCTTCCTCCCAGTCACTCTTGCCCCCTATCCACCACTCATTCACTCACTCCGTCTTCTTCACTCTTCCTCCTATCCACTCTTCATTCATTCACTCCGCTCCCCCTCCCAGCCTCTCCACTCCAGTCCCCACCACATATTTAGATTCCCTCCACTCCTTTTCGCCCGGCCCGCCATCCTGTACCCTCCCTATCGCCCCTCCCTATCCATATCACTTTTCCGGTTCATCACTTCTCCCTCCCCGTGACCCGCCAGTCCTCTTCCCTATGGCCCATCCCCTCTCACCGCGACTCTTCTTCTTTTTTCCAGCAATCCCACCATTTTTTCATCACTCCCCCACCACATCACTCCCCCACCTGTCACACCCTTCTTCCATCACCCATTCCCCTGATCACCCTCCCTCATCACTCCGCCCCATCACTCCTCTTCCATTACACCACCCCCTCATTCCTCCTTCACCACTCCGCCCCATCACCCTCCCCATCACTCACTCTCCTGATCACTCCTTCCTCCATCACTCCTCGCCCCATCACCTCCCCCCCCTTCATAATCACATCTCCGAGTTGTTTCGGTGGCTCCGTCTGTCGTGGATGCAGCGGTGGATTATGTCATAGCTCGTAGACGACGGCGACCACCGCGTGATGGCGCGCACGTCGCGGCTCGTGTCGACGACGCGGAAGCGGAAGCGGAAGTCCCTCACCTTCCGCAGGTTCCCCTTAGCTTTCCAGCGATTTGCGGGAGAGATCCCTCGTCTCGTAGAAAAATACAACAAAACCGACTTTCTCTCTCTCATACTCCCCCTTCCTCGCTCTTTCGAGCGCGCGCTCTCTCTCTCCCCTATTTGTGTCTCCGGCCCTCCTCTTTCTCCCTCCTCCTCTCTCTCTCTCGCTCTCTCTCTCTCTCTTGCTCTCTCTCTCATCTCATCCTCTCCATCTATGTCTCCCTCTTTATTTCTGTCTCTCTATCTCATCCTTTCTTTGCCCCCATCTTAATATTTCCTCTTCTCTCTTTCTATTCTTTTCTACCTCATTACCTTTTCTTCCATTTCTTTCCCTGACTATCGCTCGCTTCGTATCACTGGAGGATGATAGCGAGAGCGAGAGAGAGAGAGAGAGAGAGAGAGAGAGAGAGAGAGAGAGAGAGAGAGAGAGAGAGAACAAGAGAGAAGAAAGAAGAAAGAGAGCGACAGAGAGAGAGAGAGAGAGAAGGCAAGAGAGAGAGAGAGAGAGAGAGAGAGAGAGAGAGAGAGAAAGTCGGTTTTGCGGGGGATCATTTAGCTACTTGGTCGGCTCGCCGTCGCCGCCGCCGCCGCCTATACTGACGGCAGCCGCCGCCGCTGCCACATCGCTGCAGCTGCTGCTGCTGCTGCTGCTGCGGCGCGCGAAGCCGAGAGCGTTCGACGCATCGCGCTCCTTCTCCATCTCTACGATGACGTTCGTCAGTGCGACGATGTAGTTCTTCGCCAGACTCAGCGTTTCAATCTTGGACAGCTTGCGCTCCTCGGTCACGTGCGGTATGACGTTGCGCAGGCTCTGAAAGGCGTCGTTGAGCGAGTGCATGCGCTGCCGCTCTCGCTCGTTGCTCTCCATCCGGCGCATGTTGCGCTCGCGCGCGTTGCCGCCCGACCGTCGTCGCCGCGACGATCCACCGCCTCCGCCGCCGCCTTTCGGGTGCTTGCGCGAGTGCCCGGATGTGCCGACGGTGGCGCTGCCGCTGCCAGAACTTCCGCTCGAGTCGTCTGCGTCGGCGTTGCTCTCCGGCCACATGGGCGTGCCGAGTTCTTCCGGTATCGTCTGCAGCGGACCGCCGAGAGCGCCCTCCTTCGCACCCTCCTTTCCTGTCTTAGATCTCACCATCACCTGCGCGAGAAAGAGAGGGAGAACGGGAAGTTAAAGGGGATACTACACTCTAGAATTCTATTGCATAAAACTGTACTTACTGCATAATAAATCGTCTATACCAACATGTACTTGTTTCCAGATACCTAATTTACCGAATTTGATCGCCGCGATTTACGCTCTTTTTTACGATCATCCGCTCGTTATCGGTTGATTGCGTGAACTAAGATGAATTATTTAACATTGAATCTCGGTTTAATTAATAGTTAATTTAGTCTAACATGATGGTTAATATTTAGTTATGATCATGATAGGTAACATTTTAATTAGGTAAATTAGGTGATTAGTTAATGTAAATATTCGTTGGGATTAATTAGGTGGCATCAATTAAAGTCAACTGTTAATTGGCTCGATGTATTACTATAAAGTAAACAGTATGTGGAACGGGAAACCTTTCATGGACATAGCCCGACGTGACGCGTGTGTACCTTAGTACAGTACTGGGCTAACGTAAACACAAGTAGAGCGCGTAACCGGTTAATTACCTAAGTTTAATTAACATTAACCGTTAATTAGCTCGATATAATATCGAGATCAAGTAAACACTAGTGTAGCGGGAAACCTTTTCACAGACATACCCTATGTGAGTCATATGTGGCTTAGTATATTACTGAGATCAAGACGCACGAGTTGAGCGGGAAACATCGGAAGTTCATAGACCCCATATATGAAATGCATATATATATATATATATATATACAATTGGTTACCGGAATAAAGCATACACATGCGCCGCAGCACTCACTGACGGGACACCTATTAGAAATCTTTACCATTACCCTACAGACTTGTGCATCTCTTTAATTCCCCTCGGCATATACACCGCCATCATTCTCCCTCCGCACCTCCACAATTATTTAACATGCAAACCTACACATTACTACCCTTCCCGTACTAATATGGACATATTTTTCATTTCCCAACAGACGCGCACACCTATAGCTGTACTAATCCTCTATACATCCATATACATCTCTGTTATCTCCCTACACGCACGCGCTCACGCACAAGCACACACACACACACCACACACACACACAACACACACACACACACACACACAACACACACCACACACATACACATACGCACACACACACACACGCTAGCGCGCGCACACACACACACACACACACACACACACACACACACACACACACACATACACACACACACACACAACACCACACACACACACAACATACACACACATACGCAGCACACAAACACGCGCGCGCGCACACACACACACACACACACACACACATACACACACACGCTCGCGCGCGCGCACAGCACACACACACACACACACCACACACATCATTACACACACACACACACACACACACCACACACGCGCGCGCGCGCTACGCACAAGCACACACACACACACACACACACACACACACACACACACACAGCACGAACACACACACACACACACACACACACCCACACACACACACACCAGCCCACACACACCACCACACACACAACACACACACACACACACCCCACACACACACACAACACACACACACACACACCACACTACCATATATGCCGTACATTTTGCTATTCTTCTTCTTCTCCATTCTCATTTCTCCTTCTCCTTCTCATTCTCCTTCTCCTTCTCCTTTCTCCTTCTCCTTCTCCATCTCCTTCTCATTCTCTTTCTCTTTCTCTTTCTCTTTTTCCTTCTTCTTCTCATTCTCAGTACATCGCGCTACCTATCCCCGAGGGCGTCAATGCCCTTTCGTACGCCGGATTTTCGCCTATTTAGAGAGTTTCCGTTACCGCCGCAGGTGCGGTACGCGTACGCAGGCGATGACAGTATAAGCGCTATTCCGTACGCGAAATAATTGATACTATGATCGGCGATTGTATTCTTTCTGAACGTTTTCCTGCCCATTTTTTAATAAAAATGTTTGCGATCTATTTACCCTGTAACTGGAACGACGGACGTCCCCCGCACGTAGGATCTGCGGAAAACAGACGGGAATCAATCGAATCAGTCGGTGTAAGTCTAATGTTAATGAATGTATACAACGGGAACTTTATTGCCCTTGTCGTTGGGTTGTTGCACTTCTGGCGACTTATTTAGGCCATATTTACGCGCTTTTTGCTGCTGATGAAGTGTTGAAGAGGCCGCAAATATA